TTGACGTTTACTCTATTAGCTATATTGTGCTACTCGTGCTCACTCTACAGGCTACAATTCTTTACAGATTCTTTTGATTTTTATTTTGTATGTCTATGTCGTTATGAAGATGATCCCAATTGATTTTCATGATGATCTATCGATTTTCATGATGATTGGATAATTTTTCACCGAAATATCATGTCTGACCTGACGTTTTACTCTATTAGCTATATTGTGCAACTCGTGCTCACTCTACAGGCTACAATTCTTTACAGATTCTTTTGATTTTTATTTTGTATGTCAATGTCATTATGAAGATGATCCCTATCGATTTTCGCGATGATCGGATAATATTTCACCGAAATATGGTGTCTGACTTGACGTTTCACTCTATTAGCTATATTGTGCAACCCTGTAGTCACTTAAAACTGTTTAATCATTTCTAACAGCTGCCAGTGCAGTCCTAACTTTTACTACCAAAAAAAGAGTATTCTGTACTGCCCATGGTCCAGTGACTATAATTAGTTGGTATGTCTACTGTAAACAATATGTCATCAGGTCTTAACACCACAATAAATCTGCCCAATTAAAGATTCAAAATTTAGTTCTGTTATGTTTGACCAGTATCATATTACATACATACACATCTTTATGACCTCTCTTATAATAACTTTTCTTATTGACCTTCATTCAACTTTTTGTAGTACCATTCCATAAACTCATTGGTTTCTTTTGTATCTTGTTTTAAAATAATCCAATAACTTTTTTTTCAACTGGTGGGGCATCAGCACTTGCAAATTGGCATACGACAGATTTTGAAAATAATATGAGCAAACTGTGAAAAAAAAGGAAAATAACAAAAACCTGGACTCCATTGCAGCCGCTTAATCAGGCTGCGACGTTTGCCAGTATGCGTGTATGTTCCACAATGAGTTGCTGTTTATTTCTAAATGTATTTTACCGTAAATTACTGTAAACAACATTAAATGTTGTTAGCCGTTAAAAACACCCCATACCCATCACCTTCTGGGGGACCCATCGACGATCTATGGATCTTTTTGCAATTTCAGACATGAAAAGCAGCAATTTAGCTCATTTACTTGGGAAACCCTATTTTATACTGATAATTTTATGAACACAGATTTGGACATTTGGATGCATTTCCTTTACGAACATTGTCATAAAAATATTGCCGGGTACTGTCAAATTATCGCA